GGCTGACGTTGGATGTAGGTAAAGTGACAGGACAGGTAAAGTGCGGTACAAATGGTGTAAAAACTTGGTGGCGAAAATGGCGCGACAAACCAGTGATCCTGGAAGTCATGGAGCCGATTAAGCCATTAACAGTGACGGTGGTAACAATAACGACAATGGCCGTACCTTGACCTAAGACGTGGATGACCTTTGCTAGCACCAGGTGAACCGTTAGGTCGAAAAGCTAAATGTAAGTTAATAACTTGTTTGCAGTGTTTAGAGTTATCGGTTGTCCTTGACCTCTAGAAGAAAATGGTTCAAGACTAAGTCTCGCTGATAGTTTATTAAAATATTTTCGAGAGGAGCAAGATTAATATAGGTTCAGGTGAAATTTTAAAACATAATTCAGTATTCAGTATCCAACTGAGCTGTTCAACACTGTAGCGTCACGAAGCTATAGGCTTCGACTGAAATATCTGACGCTAAACGCTAACGACGGGTAAACTACGCAAATTCCATTTTGAAGGAGGCCTATTAGATACCGACTGAAACGTCTGTCATGACAGATCGTTATATTATGCGCTGTGTATTAATTAAGCCTTTTAGTGTTGTTTGTTAAGAATGATCAAAACGTGCTTTCTTGACTCAGCAGAACCGCGAAGACAAAAATAGATCAGGTAGTTCTAAACATTTGATCGACTTTATCGTGATATATAAATGGGATAAAAACTATGTCATATGGGTATGTCGTTGTTTTAAAGGTTTGAGTGCTTGACATGGCAACGTTAATACGGTAGATATATGCAAATGCAGTCCTAAGAGGTGCGTGCCTCTCACTACTCCGGTTTGACCACATCAGAACACAGTTCAGCCCCCATTTGTTCGTATATCAACGACTTGCTATCCGTTTTTCAGCTGGTTGCACTGAATCAAAGTGGAGTAAATTCTTTGCTCAAAGGAATTAGTTATTAAGACAAATTTTATGTTTTCTTATGACAGAAACCACGCATCTCTTCATTATAATCCGATCTCCTTGCCATTATTCCTTCGTATTAAAAGAATTGTGAAATAATGACAGCAACAAAGTTTAGAAGTATTTCACAGACTACGAAAAATTCCGGATCATACCTGCACTTCATCCTGGGTTAGACGGCGTTTTTCACTGAGGCTTGATTTGTCACTTGCGCTTCGGCTTCGAATATATGGTTCAAATTCATCGAGAGATTGCATAGAGTCTGTTCTCTGTCGAGTCATCGATTCGTTATCGCAGGAGACGGCATCGATCAGGTCTTCGTCCACTCCAAAATCTACGTTCTTCTCGACTTTGCTCATCACTGAAATTTGACGTTGTTTCTGAGGTCGTTGTAATGCGCATGTTGTTAGATACATTTATTTACGATGGGATCCGATAAGCACGGTGGGACCCCTAATGTGATTGGCTTACTGCGTAATTTGCGACGCTTTGGGTCAGTTTCTTTCGCGTACCGCCTCCTCTCTATTATCTCAGTATATGAACAGTATTCTCGACTCCGCCCACGCAAGCGTACAGCCCTCAGGTCACGGCTGGTCAGATTGCTTACTGTC